ATATAGATATATATATATAGAGATATATATATATATATATGATAATGCACAAAAATAGATCTAATGCCTTTAGAATTAATTTATTAAACATTTAATTATGAACTAAAGTAATACTTAAATATATAATCCTAATCAAACCCTCCTATAAATATCTAAGGGTTAAATACCGTTTATACCTTAAAGAATACACTATGTAACACTTACTCCCTAAAGTATCGTTTGTAACGATTAACCCCCTCAAACACAATTTGATTTGTATTTCAAATTCTAATGCCTTAAGATTTTCTCTTTTATTGAAATGAATAAAAAAAAGAATAATTAGATTATACAACTAAAAATATTTGTTGAAAAATACAATATTTTAAAATTTAAAAATATTATATTTTGTTGGGTACATATTTAATAAATAACATCTAATTGTTGTTGGACCAATTAATCGAATATATTCATATCGATATATTTTCGAAATCAATACATAACTAATAGTAATCTTATGTGTTTAAATTTATTTTAGTTCATTAGTTTCTTAAAATAAATTTTCATTCATTATTATACAATATATATAACTTTTTAATTTTTTCCAATAATATAACTTTAGTTACTTTTCAATTTTATATGATCCAATAATTATTAGATTGTTATGTTTATTATGTTTAAAATTTTAAAACATAAAATAGGGTAAAATACATCCACACCCCTGAGGTATGCTTAAATAACTATAAAGTCCCTGTGATATCAATAATTACACTCACCCCCCTAAAACATAGTTAGAAGCACTAATGGGATAATGCATTGGATATGTTATTCCGATAGAATTCTAATGGACTATGAGTTTCAGGAAGTGGTGGAGACAACAAAGAGTTATGGGTGATTTAAGAAATGTTGGGGGAGCCATGTCACCCCCTAACTCTATGTCGTCTCCACCACTAGCTAAAGTAATAGTCCCTTAGAACTATATCGGAATAACGTATCCAATGCATTATCTCATTACAGTTTCTAACTATTTTTCAGGGGGTGAGTGTAATTATCGATACCATAGGGACCTTAAAGTTATTTAAGCATACCTTAGGGGTGTGGGTGTAATTTACCCTATAAAATAGTTGATGTACAGGGGGTTAAGTGTTACAAATGATACTTTAAGGGCATCAGTGTTACATACTTTAGGGGTGCAAAGTGTATTTAACACAATATCTTAAGGCTGGGTAAAAATTACCAAATACCGATTACCACGGTATACCTACCATAAATTACCGAATAAATACCGAACTATCGGTTACCACTACATTTGGTACGGTATCGGTACCGTACCATTGCCTTACGGTACGGTAGCGGTATTGTATCTTCAATACCATGGTAATACCGTACCGTACCGCAACTTTGTATTTTTAAAATTAGTTAATATATTCAACAAATATTCAACTTTAGATAAAAAAAAATATAGTCAACAAATATTATAAAGAAAATAAAAAACAAGAATAACGATATGATACATCATATATATATTATATATACATAATTATAATTTTTTTATTATCTTCATATATTTATGCAAACTCAATATTAGCTCTGGTTACAGATGTTTATGTCACGTACTTCTTTAGTTTCAAAGTCCAATTAATCACTTATTGGTGGAATACTTTTTGCCATATTTTATTCTCCCTTTCTTTCCCCCTGAGTTCCCAGTCTTCTGTTTCATTTGCATTATTGCAAAAAAAATAAAAATTTCTCTTACTTAAACCATCAAACTTTTTTGCTCATTACAAGTTTCTACAATTTTTCTATAGATATCTTAGTAAGCATTAGTTAATTAAAGCAACATATGCTACTACGGTTGTATAATGTATATTCATGTAGATTGCTTGATCGATCACCATATTCATTTGCTTAATTTGTTGTATTTATGCATTTATTTAGTATTCATCTTAATTATGGATCA